CAATGAGAAGAGATAAAGATGAATAAGTGAAGATTGAAGAATCCAAGGAATTAATCAATCAGTTTATGTGATATGGTGTGTGGGGATTATTCTGCATGTGTTTTCATCCAAGTTCAAAAGCAAAGTTCTAAATTTTGATGATCAACACATTTTTATGTAGTTTTTCTTTTAACAATCTGACAATACATTTTGTTTTGTGGCACTATTTCAGCATATGCTCTACCTCTTCGATTTAATGTATGATGAATTTAATGTATGATATCTAAACTTTGACAGTTTTTATCAAAGGACTTGAGAAAGTGAAATTTAAAAAAAAAACACAAAAACATTTCTTGAGCTGCATGCCGCACTGACACTTGAAATTTCAAGAAGAGAAATTTGGAAACACTTTTTAAAGGAGTAAACAATAGGCCCCCTGCTTGAAAAAATACAAACATATAAGGTACAACAAGATAACAAGATTGAGAAGACCACATTCTTTGTGGGAGGGGGGAGTGCAACTGAGTGAATTAATATGTGCAAATTTTTTCTTGTATAACATTTTCTGTCAAAAGATAATGTATGGAATTACCCAACTTTGAGTTTGCACTTTGGCATGTTTTCTTATTTGGGGTTAGGAAACATTATAAAAGATAAAAGAAAAGTAAACTTCAGCCTTAATAACCTCTGTACATCTGTGGACTCATCTACAACAAAATGCATCAAGGCTGGACCAAAAAAAAGAAATTCTGTGGAGAAAAGACTATAATTGTAGAGAGCCCATAAAACAATAGGGAGACAATAAGAGGACCCGATGATGGGACCACAAGAACATTCTTTATACAGAGAATATTGATATTGTTCAAGAGAAGATTAATTGTTGTCAAGAGAGTCCATCTGTTAAATAGCCGCTCCTATAAATCAATAATAATAAGTTGATAAATTAAAAGCTTAACAATTTCAGGATTACAGAATAAAATTTGATTCTATGCCAGAAATGTTGAAATTATAGATTTTACACTTGTAACCGGCCGATTTTCCGTGAGTGTCTGCTGATATTAAATGAATGGACGAAACCTTTTTTTCAACTTTAGCATAATGTACGAGCAGGGAATTAATGTTCTGGTTTAACTATACAGTATTGTACAATACTTTTGCATAGGAAGAGTTCACGCGGTGGAATAAGTACAGTATATTATGCGCAAACCCACAGCTGTGCTTCAGATATATAGTACTGTATTGTTGTGCAGGGAGAATTTTGTGTTTTCATGGTTTCTGTCGTAAACATCAGCAGTTCACTTTCCATTCATTGTTGCTCAATACACAGTAATTCCGCAAGGTCATCTCAAGCTGAGACTCGAAAGTAGCAGGCGCTCTTTGTCGAGCTCGCAATATGGCTCCGTGCTGTGCTCTAATATTTCAGTTTTGATGCATTGTGCGGAGTAAGTGCTTTGTTTGGAGAGGCGAGAGAAACGTTGGACATGTTGACTGTGAAGTTCACTTCTTGCATTTTCCTCTTGATGAAATCATTTTCGTGAAGATCGCCTTAAAAGATCCCAAGAAACTTAGCGAAGAGTTTGTCGTGAGCGGAATCAGTCGGCATCAAGTGGAATTTTCCACTTATAGTGTGAATGATTTTGCTTTTTCGCAACTTCCGATGAAAACAAAAAGTGTGCATACAAGTAGTGACTGATGCGTTTGAGAATTAACGATTATTGAAAACTTACCGTCTGTATTCGCCCTCTGCTGTATTTGTAATTCCTATATACGCCTACGGATGATGGTGTCCAGATTTTGTGTGCCATTTCTTGTCCAGGTTTTCAGTTGAATATCACGCGTTTTTATCGAGCTATCTTGCGCGGTTGTTTAACATTGTATGCTTTACTCGGTTCTGAGTCATTAAGCTCTTGTGGCGCTCATTTTTGCGGTCTTCGTCGCTTCAAGTTGTAATTTAGAGTGCGATAAGTTCTAGTGACGCGTGTGCCGTATGTATTATCGTTTCAGCTGATTTTTCCCAGGTCTGTCTTGTTGTCACATGTGGTAGAGACGTGAACATAATGCTCTTCTCTTGATGACATCGGAGAACAGGACGCTGCTTTATCTGCCTTCAAAGAATTCTACTGTGGTTTGAGATTGTCATCACGTACGATCGGTTATGGCGGACAAAGAAAGAACGGTGTCTTCGGAATGGTTGGAACTTGACGATGCTGAAGGAACTTTGAAGGAGCTTGAGGGTTGGTGTTAGTGTTGGAATTATCCGAGTGCCACATGATCATGGTTTTTTTTTTTCAGTTCTGAAAACCAAGAACGTATCTCTCATTCCTCCGCTCCTGAACGCATACCTGCATCATATTGCCGTGACTGGTGATACAGAGTATTCATGGGAGCTGCTACGTCATTTGCTGAAAGTTAAAATTGAATCCGTCGTCGAAGAATTTCTTCAAATTTCTCCAATAGATGAAATACCTCGCTGTCCAAATGTTGAGCGGTTTAACTTCGCCGCATTGAAAAGCTTCCTGCTTGAAAGATTAGCATCTTACACGAGGTGAGTG